TTGGTTAAGCATCTGATCTTGATTTTGGCTCAGGTCATCATCTCAGTGTCATGAGATCGAGCCCTGCACCAGGCTGTGGGCTCGTCCAGGAGTCGGCTTGTTATTTTCTCCCTCTCCCTTTGCCCCTCCCCCCTAAAATAAATGAATCTTACAAAAATTAAATGAAGAAGACTTAAAAATACTTATTAATTCATTTAAAAACAAAATTACAAATACATTAACATGTTAATGTCAGTAACATTGTTATGAAAAATAACTGTTTTTTTCATATGGCATTGTTTAACTTTTTATTTGCAAATCTCTTTAATGTATGGCTTAATAGAAGATAGCTGGATTTTCATATTTGCTTTTGCTTTCAATCTGTTGCAATTTGTTGTTTTGGTTGAAGAATCTGAAGAAAATCCAGCCTCACTCAGATATGTGGACAGAAAAGGGTGGAGAATTTTAACAGCCTTTTCATTGAGTAGGGACTTTCTTTGATACTACAGCAAAACTTGCAACTAGTAGTTTCTTTTTTTTGAGAGAGAGAGAGCAAGTGAGCAGGGAGAGGGAGAGACTTGTAAACAGGCTCCACGCTGAGCGTGGAGCCCAACATGGGGCTGATCTCATGACCTTGAGATCAGGACCTGAGCCCAACCTGAGTCAGATGCTTAACTGACTGAGTCACCCAGGCACCCGACAATTAGTAGCTTCTTCAGCTGCAACTGTGAAATCTAAAACCATGTCAATGAACTTCACTTTGTTTCATCCAAATTCATTTGTTTACCTTGCACTTTAAATGGATTTGTTACCCCAACACGATTTTGTAACATTGCACATTGGCCATTTATTTATTTACTTATTTAATTTTTTTAAAAAAGATTTTTAAATTTATTTGACACAGAGAGACACACCGAGAGAGGGAACATAAGCAGTGGGAGAGGGAGAGGGAGAAGCAGGCTTCCCGCTGAGCAGGGAGCCTGATGTGGGGCTTGATCCGAGGACCCTGTGATCATGACCTGAGCTGCAGGCAGACGCTTAACATGACTGAGCCACCCAAGCGCCCCTTACACATTGGTCATTTAGAAAAATTGGTGTGTTGATTTATGCAGATCTTCTAAAGGCTGACATATTTCATTATATAATACCTAAATCAGAAAGCTAATCAGAAAAGTCTTGAAGGATTGGGAAGCAGTCTAGCTAGCTGCAGAAGGCATCCTAATTGACAAGTTTTCTTGGAATTCAAATTTTCACTGGAAGGTTTGAATTTTATCGTTGGCTATAATACTGTCGGTTGTTATCCTTGAAGTGACAGGTTCATCTTGTTCCTTTTTGAGAAAATGCCTGCCCGAGACCGGGTCTGAAGATTGTCAAGCCCTCTGTCAATTGAAAATGGTATTCTGTGAGAAAAAAAAAAAAAGTGACTTTTTCAGTTTGCAACTCTCGGAACTGCATGTGTGCTTTTTCTTAAGACAATCATCATGATTCGGTGTGAAGTGATTTATTCATACTTCCCATTTCCCCACATGGAATATTAAAATGTTCTGTCCTCAAGGGTCAAGATTTAATACCTTCATGGCTATATCAAGGATATTCTAAAGTGAAACTGACTCTCTCTCTTTTTATAAGTGCTTGGGCAGGTTGTGAAGAATACAATTACTGTGAGTATAGTTTGTCATGGTACACGATGAGACACCATCAGTTTTCTTTTAAGCATTTATTTTGATTTTAGTTAGATGACACAGTGTTATAGGAATTTCATGTGTACAATATAGTGTTTCAACACTTCCCTACATCACCCGTGCTCATCACCACAAGTGCCTTCCTTCATCCCCATCATCTGCTCTACCCCTCCCCCCACCCCTCTCCGCTCTGGTCACCATCAGTTTGTTCTCTATAGTTAAGGGTCTGTTTCTTGACTTGTTTCTCTCTCTTTCTCTTCCCTTTGTTTTGTTTCTTCAATTTCACATGAGTGAAATCACATAGTATTTGTATTTCTTGCCTGGCTTATTTTGGTTAGCACAATACACCCTAGCTCCACCCATGTCCCTGAAAATGGCAAGATTTCACTCTTCTTTATGGCCAAATAATATTCCATTCTATATACACCATATTTTCTTTATCCATCATCAGTTGATGGACACTTGGATTGCTTCTGTGTTTTGGCTATTATAGATAATGCTTATAGCAGCATTATCTATATCTATATAAGATATATATAAGATATATATCTTCTATCTATATAAGCATTATCTATCAAATCCCTTTGAATTAGTGTTTCTGTATTCTTTGGGTAAATACGCAATAGTGTGACTGTTGGACTGTATTGTTAACTTTCTGAGGGACTTCCACACTGTTTTCCATGGGCTGCACCTGTTTGCATTCCCACCAACGGTGCCTGAGGGTTCCTTTTTCTCCACATCCTCAACGACACCTGTCATTTCTCGTGTTGTTGATTTTAGGCGTTCTGACAGGTGTGAGGTGATCTTTCTTGTAGTTTTGATCTGCATTTCCCTGAAAAGTGATGATGAGCATCTTTTCATGTGTCTGTTGGCCATCTGGATGTCCTCTTTGGAGAAATAAGATGTCATCAGTTTCCATCATCATTGCTTTGCACCATTAGTGCAAATATTCACTCAGTGAAAAAGTCAAATAACATTTCAGTATTATAATGGCATGAGTTTTCATTTCAAAAATTCCTTGGAAGGGTCTCAGAGACACCAGAAGTCCATAGACCACACTTCTAGAACTTCTGTAGCTTACAGTTGATTCGAGAAGCAACCCAGCATGCTTCCAATAGACTCCCTTTTTCTGAAATCAGCCAGAGTTGGTTTCTGTTGATGTCACAAGTATTCCATGTTAAAAACGTCACTGTTTATGGATAGTTGAATCTAAATGTGTAAGGAACTCTAATTTAGGGCAATTTATAAATAAGTCCTTCATTATGATGACTTGCACAGCAAATAATCAGGAAGAATGAAAGATTCTAAAGTTTCACTTTACTAAAAAAATCTAACATTTGTGCTTTTTGCATTCTTGGTGTTGAGTCAGTGTTGAATAATCAAGTCTACGTAGGCCCAGGAATTGTGGCAGAAGAAGGATAAGGGTATTAATACTCTCTCCTTTCATATGAGTGCTTCAAATGACCTTATTAAGCTAAGTATTATTCTTATTTTAGACATTAAGAAGAACTGGGATTTAATGGTTAAGTACCTTGCCCAAGGCCACTCAGTGGTCAAAGCTCTCATCCTGGCTGAGAGACTCCAAAGCCCAGAACCTCTTTACTCTACCACACAGGAATTTCTGATAAGGATGCAAATATGAGCCTGTGACGTCTGAGGTTTATGCCTTTGAAGGCAGTGTTGCAAAGTCATGGGCGTCCGAGGTAGTTCTTTAGGGAACTTCTTTTATAAGTTCTATTGTGGTGATATGGTAATACTGGCTTTCTACCAAAGCAACATTTCTGACATACCATAAAGTGACATTTTAGAGTCGGAAGAGACTCTGTCCAAATTTATCACCACTGGGGCATGCCGGAATACTCAACACACATTTTAAAATACCATTCCCTGGGTGATAACCTGATTATTGTTCATCCCACTGAATCAAAATGAATCACATACAGTGGCAGGCATCTTCTTGGATGGCCTCAATAGTCTCTGCTTCCTCATATTCATACCCTTGTGTATGTAATCCTCCACCCACCCCCCTCCCCTGAGTGTGGACAAGATCTGTAACTTGCCTCTAACCAATAGTTAGAGGCAATAGTTTTATAAGATAGTGACTTCTGTCCCACTAGCGGACTCTCTGTATGTTTCCATGCTTGTACATTTTAACAAAGAAAGCTGCCATATTGGAAGGGTCTCTGTGGTAGGGAACTGAGGGCAGCCTCTGGCCATCAGTCAGTGTGGAACTGAGGCTGTCAGTCCAATGGCCTGTGAAGAGCTGAATCTGGCCAACAACCATGACTGAACTTGGAAGCAGGTCCTTCCCCAGTTGAACCTTCAGATAAGCCCCCAGCACCTGCTAACACCTGAGTATACACGTGTGAGAGATCCTAAAACAGCAGACTCAGCTAAGCTATGCCTGATTCCTGACCCACACAAACTGGGAGATAATATATGTGTGCGGTTTTGAGGTAATTTGTTAGGCAGCAACAGCGAACGGTTACACGGTTAGTATCTTTATCTGTCTCTTTCTCTAGCACGATCAGGAGAGAGCTGTTTAAGGTCAGTGAGTTCTTGTCATGTGTCTTTACCTGTTCAGCTACCACTGGAGAGTTTCCTGCCAGGATAATCTTCAAAGTGAAAGGAGGAGGGTCCTCCATGTAGTTCCTAATGCTCCAGGAAAGCCCTCTGTGGTCTCCATCAGTTCCCACCTTTGGCCCTCCCACTGGAACCCTCCACAATTGTGTTTCTCCACATAAGCATCATTTAGCTTACAAACCAGAGGCAGCAAGTCAATTACTTCTGGAGTCTGAAAGTTCAGCCTGGGAGGGAGTTTATTAATCCCTCCATATGAATGCAGAAACGCACTTCCCAATCCAGTTCATAAGCAGAAGTGCAAAATGTCTGGAAATTGACATCATGAGATAAAGAGCTCCTTTGAGAGAAAGAGGGGAATTGGGGAGATGCTAAAATATAATGCAATGCATAGGCAGGAGGCAGCCTCTTTACTCTGGAGGGCTTGTTTCCTCATCTGTAAAATGGGGGTTGACCTCCAGGTCTCATAGACTTTGGTTCTTAGTCTGTCATAATCTGGGTTGCTGTGGGCTGGCTCTCTAGGTCCTAAAAAAAATGATTCAGAGAGAATGAAGACATACCTGTCTCCTAAAGGGGTTTTAGGATTAAACGAAATAAAGAAAACGTCAACACCAAAGCACAGAGCTTGCACAATAGTGAGCCTGACCCTGATCGCTTCCACGCAGGGGTTCCAGGCCCCGGTGCGGGGAGGGGGTTGGGGCAGCCGGGGAGCGGCGTACTGCCCGCACCCGGGCCCGGTGGCCTGCCCCGCCCACGTGGGGCCGCGGCCCGTCGAATGACTCCGTGCAACGTGTTGGTGGCAGCGGCGGCGGCTGCGGCTCTTCCGGGCGCCGCAGCTTCCTGCCGAGCACCGCGCAGCCGCCTCCGCCGCGGAAGCCCCGGGTGCAGGCCTCGGCGCCGGTGCGGGACCCGGGCTGAGCCGCGCGCGCCCCGCGGGGCCCCGGCCGCCCGACCGCACGATGCGCGCCGCGCCGCCGCCCGCGCCGCTCCTGCCGCTGCTGCTGCTGCTCGCGCTCCTGGCCGCGCCCGCCGCCCGCGCCCGCAGAGCCGAGTCCGCCTTGGCGCCGCCGCCCGAGCCCGAGCGCCGACCGCGGCCGTCGCCCGGCCCCGGGCCCGGGAACGCCACCCGCACGGGGTCCGGGGCGCCGGCGGGCGGCGGCGGCGGCGGCGGCTCCAACAGCAGCGGCGACGCCCTGGTGACCCGCATCTCCAGCCTGCTCCGCGACCTGCCCACCCTGAAGGCGGCCGTGATAGTGGCGTGCGCCTTCACCGCGCTGCTCATCGCCTGCCTGCTGCTGCGCGTCTTCAGGTGGGTCCGGCCGCCCCCGTCCTTCCCCCGCGGGCCGACCTGCCCCGCCAGCGGTCGCCGCGCGCCCGCCGCACCTGCGCGCACAGATGCTCCGGGCCCTGTCCTGCAGGAGCGCGCTCTGTCCGGTTTCCCCCCCGGACACGGTTCAGAAATGTTCGCCTCCTTCAGCGGCAGCTGTCACAGATGCTGGCTGCCTTTGAACTCTCTGCGAATGTTTAACGCTAACAGGAGCGCTAAGGATTCTGATAATTTCGCATTTTTTTACACGGAATTTAGTTTTGTACCCATTTCACAGATGGGGGAAAAGTCTCCAGAGAGGCAGGGTGGTTTATCCAAGTAGACTCAGTGGTGGCGGTAGAATTGAATCCAGGTCCCGTCTGCCTTTAACCTTACCCACCTTTATCCTTCCCTCCTTTGCTTCCCAGGCTCCTTAATGCCCCACCTGCCTTTTCCCTTTTCCTTCATTGTGCTACCCAAAAAAGCAGTGTCTAGGGCTCAGGGATGTGCCCAGGACATGTGCTGGAGGTGTGCTTTGCACCGGGGATTGGAACTGGACTCTAGGGTGCATGGCGACCTTGGTGGTCTCAGGGACTTTCTGTTGGGGCATGTAAATGTCTCTCCTATGCTCCTGCCGACAGAGCTTGCCCCAGTGAAGACGCACAGGGCCATGAGGGGTCCTGAAGAGGCTTTTGTCGGCTGCTCAAGTTCAGGGAGAAAGTGTCTGGGAAATGAGGAAGGGAGTCGTGGGTCCCTGGAGTAGAGATGAAAAAAGCTACCTGGAATGCAAGGAGGTCATTTCCCCCAAATGCCTGGAAAATCCTGTTTTTGCAGGAAATGAACCAAATAAATGTGTCCTGTTGCTCAGGCGGGCCGCTGGGAAATCTGGGTGTGTGTGTCTGTTATTCACTGCCCACCGGCCCGTTCCAAGTGTACACAGTGTGCTTTACTGTTTGATCAGCTGTTGGAGGTTTGGGGCCAGGGTCTGGCTCTCCCCGGGGGAGCATTTTCAACACAGGAGCGGAAACCAGACCTGGAAAGGCAGGGTCAGGAGTTATCTGTTGAGGTTTGCTATTGCTGTGTGACTCTGAGTCAAAGTGTTTCCTTGTGGGTCTGTAGGATTAAATGCCAGAGATCTTGAGAAAATGGAGAAGGGGGGGCGTGTTTTCACATCCACCTCCCCCATCCTCTGCCCTGGCACAGCCCACGTTGTTCTTCACCATGCTGATGCCCTTGATGTACTGGGGCATTGACTTCCTGCCCACCCCCCCATCCTTTCCACTGCCCTCACTCCTCTGCTTCCAAATTTCAGTGGTTCCCTGTGTAGCTGTTACTGGGTGTGGCATTCAAGGCTCTTACAAACTGGGCCCAGCCCATTTGGTGGCCATCAGCCAGCCCTCCTGAGCCTCCTCTCTGTCACTTGCTTGTTTCTTTATGCTCCATGGTGTTGGTCTGTGCTTTCCTAGCCCTGGGCCAGTTTCTGCTGCACACCTGCCATGACGGCCCCAAGGCCCAGCTCCCAGGCTCCCTCCTCTGTGTGGTTTTCTGGACATCCGAGTGAGGCCATCACTTCCTTTTCTGGCCCACCGCAGCCCTAGCCTTGTGCATCTTCTGTACAACCCTTCTCATGCCATGCTGGGTGGCTGGGTTTAGTGCCAAGCTCCTATACTCAGTGCACAGGCCTGACAGCAGGGATGTTCAGTCCCTCCTAGGGTCTCAGTGTCCCCCGCCGGCCTGGCATTCAGTGGAGGTACCTTAGTCCTTTACTGACCTCCCGATTGTTCAGCTGGAGTGAGCCTTGATGCCTAGAGCAGCTCTGAGCATGGAGGTTTGAAACATTTTGCTCAAAATAGGCCTCCAAGTCTACAAGGCAGTGTACTTTTTAAGAAGGCATTTGAACTATTTTGCTGGTCTGCTCCTTATTACCCAGGGGTGGGGAAGAAAAGCAAGCAGCATGGGGCCAGATGTGAGCTGCGTGTTGGGGCGGGAGGAGAGCGGATACTCAAGCCTCGTTGGAGGGTTTGCGCAGTGTTGGAAGAAGGTTCTGGTTTCATAGAAGCTGGTCATGTGTGTGATCTGCTGCTTCTTCCAGGGCCGGTGTTCTCGCTGGGGTGAGTTTGCAGGTGGGCTGCGGTCACCCTGGTCTCTGAGGCAGACGGGAACTTACAGCGTTTGACAGCTGGGACGGGCTTGATGGTACGCAGTCCCCATGGGCTCCTTTGCAGAGGAGAAAGTTACATTCCAGGGAGCAGAATGAGTTATCCACCAGATTCTCGAACATGCTGTAAATCCACGGCTGAGGCAGGGCAGGTGGCCCATCTTGCTGGTGGTCTGTACCGTGGCCTTTCCCCCCTCCACAGTCCTCAGCAGGCTCAGCCCATCAGGCCTCCCAACCACCTGCTGCTCTGGCTGGGTGTCCTGCTTCCGTGTAGTCCCTGAGTCCTGGCCATTCCACCCTGCCAGTGACACTGAGGCTGTTCCGCCTGGGCCCATGTCCCTCCCCCATGGGAGCCCCCTCACTTGCCGGAGCTTCTGCTCGGCTGACTCCCTACTAAGTCTTAGCAATGTCCTTCATGTCCGCTGCTGTTCCTGCTGCCAGTCTCGTCCCTGCCCCTGTCCATCCTCCCTCTCTGGTCTTGTCCTTCCTCTGCCCACCTGTGTCCCCCCGCACAAGCTCGTCAGTGTGCGGATGATGCTGGCTCTTCGAACAGGGGCCCCGCCTCCCTCTTGAACCCCTGTGTCAGCTTCTGCCTATTGCCCCCTCCTCGCTGGACTTCCGGGGGTTCTCCAGGTCCTGGGGGCCTGGGACCTGCATGCTCTGCCCCACTCTGACCCTCTGCCTGGAGTCCCCTCCGCCATCCTGACTCCACGGCTGCCTCCTTGCTCTCTGCTCTCCTCTGCTCCCTCTGAGAAGCCTCCCCAGCCGGGGCCCTCCAGAGCTCCCAGAGCACGCTGGGGCTTTCAAGTTCCTGCATGGGCTCGAGACAGGAGACAGTCACTGAACGTGTCCCTCTGCTTTCCAGCATGGGGTGCTCCCAGGAGCAGAGCTGGATCTTGGTCATGTGTGTCTCTCTAGCACCGGGTAGCCTCCAAGCCCATGCTGGCATCTGTTGAAGATATTTTTTAGCAAAGGAGTATGGAATGCCTAAGTATTTTATGCTACTGATACTCCTCAAAAAGCCCTCTGTGACTCCATGCACGGCTGTTGCCGGAAGCCTGCGAAGTAGGAATTCATTTGGATGGTGACCCTCTGTGGTGATCCTTAGCAACACAGACCAGGGAGAAAGAGCTTAGTCAGGTTACTGCTTATAAAGCAGCAACTCTAGCCCAATTGTCTATTTTCCCTAGAGCCACCTCGCCAGACAACAGAAAAGGTGTGGATCCAAGGAAACTGTTAAAACTAAAAACACGGAAACTTTGTGCAGTGGCGGCATCGTAGCCAATGAGGGTTATCCAAGGGGTGATTATTGCTAATTGAAAACTAAAAATACAGAATATATACAGTCATGAAAAATATGTATACCTTTAATGAAGCAATTCCATCCCCAAGGTACACACTTTTTTCACTGTGATACATCTTCCTTCTTCCAGTTTTATTAATTAGAAGAGGAAGCAAAGGTGCGTGGGCAGCAAAGTTCAGAGCAGTTGTTTGGTATTGAAAATATTGGGTCTTGGTTAATAATTTATGGGAAGTATGGAATACTGTTTAACTGTTAAAATGATGACGCTGGGGGTGCCTGGGTGGCTCAGTCTGTTGGATGTCTGCCTCTTGATCTCAGCTCAGGTCTTGATCTCAGGGTTGGGAATTCAAGCCCTGCCCTGGACTCCATGCTCAGCATGGAGTCTGCTTAAAAAAAAAAAAAATTAGATCAATGACTACATTGATCTAATACTGTACATTATTGAGTGGAACGGGTTACACAACAGCATGCATGGTATGATTTCATTTAAATAATAAATTACACATATAACGAATATGCAAAGAAATCTATGCCTGTGTGCACGTTTGTGGGTGACGGTGATTATTATTTTTCAGATGATGTTTTTACATGATCTGAATTTCTTGACAGTGGACACTACTGCTCTCCCTGTCTGTACAGTCAGCCCCTGGCTGTGTCTTTGGCTCTGTCTTCCTGAGGACCTGTGTGAGTGTCTGGGGTATACATCTACAAGTGGGAATTTTGGATCCCAAGCCACTCATACTTGATTTTCTTGAGTTTGTACCAGTTCTCCCTCCTGCTGGTAGTGCCTGAGGGTCCCCCCTCACAGATGGAGGATCCTTAGTACCACCTGACTTTCTCACTGTTTCGGGCAGATGGGTGTAATTTGGTCATTCATTTTTTTTTTTTTTTGGCATTTTCCAAGTTTCTGCTGAGATGGAGCATCCCCCCATCCAATACTTACTAATCAAGTAGATCCCTCCGTCTGCAGAATCAATGATACCTTTTTCATGTATCTGAATCATTAAGGAACACTGTTTTGGGACCGGAGACAAATTTGGGAGGAGGGAAAGGCGGCTTGCGCGCCTGCACCCTCCACGTGTGCATGCGCATGTGTGCGCGTGCACGTGTTCGTGCGTGTGCATGTGCGCGGGTGCGCATGCGATTCTGGGCGCGTTTCTGCACAGCTAACAGTGGGGCTGTTCCCCCGGGTCTGTTACCTGGTATGTTTCTGAAAGCTGGAAGGGAATCGACAAGGACGCTGTGTCTAGGAAGCAGAAAACTGCAATTCCTCCAATTTTTTGATGTTTAGAACTATCTGGTGGGTTGCGTGGCATCAGAGACTCTGAGGTCTCACCTTGCTCTTTGAGATCTGGGAGGAGTCTGACCTCACTCTCCAGGGTCCTCTGAACAGGGTGGAGACCAGGCAGGGAACCCATCCCCTCCACCATGACACTCCTTTCCCCGTGGATTCTCCACTGCGGAGGCCACATTTCTCAGGTCTCTGCTGGCTGCTTTCCCAGCCACTTCTTATTTCAAAAGCTTTGTACAGTCCTCTTATGT